TTTCTAGGATTCCATCAGGGATATTTCATCAAAGATGTTAAGATTTCCTTGTTTTAAGACCACTGAATGAAAATGTCTACTAGATTGAATGCATTATACATAGTAATTACAGTAAAAGGCAATGTTTCCCATTCCAGTCTTTCCCCTCCAATTTACAAATACAGTTTAAGCCACAATGGTGAATGTTTGTAGGTTATTTTTCCTGTGTCCTGCCAAGGAACATAGTAGGACAAGGAAGAAAAAGATCATCATCTGGGGCAGCAGAGCAGGTGTTGTGTAGGGAGCAGAGGCTTTCCCAGCACAGCAAGCTTTGGTGTGACTTGGGACAACTTCACCTCCTTCACCAAGCTCAGCTGCCAGGTAGCACTGGCTGCTAGGACAGTGTCTCTGCAAGGTGACCTGCAGCTGCTGGAGGCAATGGCACAGCAGTGTGTGCAGTTAGGAGCTGTAGTAACAGATTTCAGATGTCAAGGCCTGAACGTTTCGGGATGTCTTTTCCAGCCAGTGGCTCCTTCTTTATGACCAGTGATGTCTGTGCCTGTCTGAAGTGAGAAGCTAAGGAACAAAGAGGGTGTGAACATGTGGCTTTGCAATATCTGCCCCTCTCTACAGCCTAATTAGTGCCTCTAGGTGCTTCTGAGCGTTCTCAGCATCAATCTTTAGACACCAAGAGAAAGTTAAGGCTGACCAGGAGATAGACCTAATGAGCTTGAATACCAATAGGCTTTAGTTCTGAGAAGATCATCTGGATTTCTTTCTATGGCTCAGGTACTTGACTGCCAATTTTGACATAATTTGGGGACTCTGATTCTCAGCACAGCAATCTTTGCTCAGAGCTGTCCTTTGTTTTTACTCCTTTTCTTGTCCTCCTTGTTTACAAGCTGAATTCTGCATGTAGAAGTGATTCTTTTCTCCAGTGGGCTGAAGCTGTCTCTAAGTGACAGCCCATCTTCATGGTTCTCGTCATCGTCTCTTGCTTCTTGAAAATAAGAGAAAAGGTTTTCAGAAGTGTCAGGTGTGGGTGGTTTGAATTGTCTCCTATGTACTGGAAGTCTGTCTTTCTTCAGGTGTAACTGGTAGAAAAAGGAAGGAGGGTGTTGGTGGTGATGCTGACATATCCTCTAGTTTCTTCCATCTCTTATTTAAAATCTGGTTTCTTTCACCTCTTCTCAGTAGAGTCAATATAAAAAGAAACCCAGACACCTGTGTGTTTCAGACAAGCTGGCAATAATTGTGTCTGTCCTTTGGTTACCCATTCTCAGTCAGCTATTCTCACAAGTGTGCTCTAAAAAGTAGTGCTTGGGGTCTACAGCTGCTCAGCAAAATCATTAGAAAACACAACATATGAAGTGCTATCACTGCTGAAAGTGTAATAATATGATGATTCACAATTGGTTCTTTTATTCAAATGATGTGCAAAGCAGCTTTTTAAAGGTAATCCTCACTGATGGAGACAACCAACCTTCTCCACAGCACCAGGATCAGCTGTCTCTGCTTTCACTGCATAGTCTGTGTGCTTTGGCAAAGAAGGGAGAACCTTGAATTTTATTTAACAAAATAAAGTAATTATGCTGTGATATTATGTTTTTCTTCAAACAGAACAAGGTGCTAACTGCAAGTAAACTTACACAGTCAGCAAAAATATCAGAGTAATGAGTTAGACAATCAAGAAGGTTTTTAAGTGATAATTACAAAAAAGTTATTCTGCTATATGTGTGTAATTTACTGTAGTCAATTTATTTCGGTTGGCATAAAGCAATTAAGGAGCCTTGCTAATATTTCAAAAGCTCATATTAGCTTTTTCATAGTTGGCATTATATTGACTTATGTTGCCCTAGATTTTCAGTAACTTCACTGAACATGAAGTATAATGATACTATTGAATATTTTGAGCTTTTCTGGATAAATTTCATTTTTCCACTCCAGACCAAATTCATTTGACCACTGGGCTTGGCATCTTTTTTATCTAATGCTTTTAGAAACTCACATCTTCCACTTGCAGAATAAAAGTCATCCTTGTAAGGAAGATTTTGGAAGGTACCTAAGGAATTTTGTTTCCCAAGTCCCTTTGATTTTCTGTGCCAGTGGTCAGCATCTTTCCTTTGATTGTCTTTGAAAAAAAAAAACCCTGGACTTTAATATATTATGAAAGCTAGAAATGAAAGCAATTTAGGCTATCTTTTGCAAGCCTTTGCTCTAAGTAATTAATGCTTTTATTATTCCAGGACTCAGAATTTGACCCCTTGAAGTTCACCAGTGTCATTGAATGTGAGAAGCCAAACAACGACTTAAGTAGGTTTCGAGGTTGCATGTGAGTATTTCATATAATATCCTTCAGTATATACTTCTTTTCTCTCATATGGAATAAAATAAATGCTGATTTGGTTGGGGTTGTCTTCTGTAAGTTGCATCATCGTCATCACATCTATCCAGGGCTGCATGTTTCAGGCTCTTTTAGCGTATCCTCACTTCAGGGTGAGAAGGAAGCCTCATGTTTCCATTCCTTAGGATGGATGGAGTTGTTCCCTTCCCTCAGTTGACACTCCAGAAATCAATGCATGAAGCACTGCAGTTACAGACACTCTTCTCCCTTCCCTCCATGGATCAAAAAAGCCATCCAGAAATGGGTGAAAATAGAAAACTGGTCCAAGAGAGGCAACAAACAAACAATCTGTCATACTCTGTTTTTATGGAGATCGGTCTGTTGGGTGTTTCTTTTAATATATGTGTCATTGAGGAAAATCAAAAGGCAAAACTGCTATTTCTCCAGCTATGGCACTACTCCTCTCTTCTCCTTCAGGCAAACAATTGGCTCACACAATGGGTGGGCTCATACATTACCACATCACCTACGCTCACTTGACTTAATTCTAAACAAACAGGACTGCATGGACAGGGTGCTCATCTCTGCTCAGTCAGGGATGCTCAGAAACAAATGTTTTAGGATGTGCACAACACTTTGCTTCTAACACAGCCAGGACTGGCTTAGGAGATGCACTTTTGCATGATTTATTTTTCTAGTCTGTTACCACGTGGGCAGTGAGAGCCCAGGATATATAATTTCTGCCTAAATTCAGTGAAGAGAGTTAAGCAGACACTGATTGTGTTTTGAATACAATGATTGACCACCCATATTGATTAGGAGAGCTAAGCAGTATTAAATTGCATAAATGTCATGAGGTAAATTGCTGGAGCTTTGGGAGGTTTTTTTTTATAGTGATGCCATTTACCACCTCAGTTACTACTCTCAGATGTCACAGATTGTGTAGGATGTACTGTCAACTGGTGTAAATCAGGACAGTTTCTTTGAAACTACATCAAGTTGTAGTGTGGGAAAATGTGTTCCTTTATTTAGCAGCACAAAGCCCTACAGTTGGTGTAAAGATAAAAGTTTGGTATTAGACATTACCACACGAGGGTGTGTAGCTGTCTCCATTAATAGCTTGCTCTACTGCAAAATGCCATTTCCAGATAAGGAAATGGAAAGCTTGGCAGCTTTCCTAGCACACTCTACGTGTGAATCTTCGTCCCCAAAATCCTGAGCAGAGGTTGAATACTGTAAAAAAATGCATAAATTTGTCTATCATTGTATATTTACTTCTGTACTCCCAAGGCCTGTGGTATATAAGTTACAGAACCATTTGAATTACGTAGCAGAAAACATAGGAGTGTCTTTTGGATGATTATTGTTCAATATTTAATCTTCTTTATATTTTAATGTTGCACAAATTATGTGACACAGCAAAAAAAAAGTAAGACACAAGTTTTGAATCTATCAGAAAGCATCAGGTGATTTCCAGGGCTCATCAGTTATGCTGCAAGAGTTTTACTCCTAAAGGACCATGAGGAGTTTGAAGTAAAGAGCTAGGACCAACCCCTCAACACATACATTGCCAGTCTCCTAATTTATCACAGGCAAAGGCTTTTTCACCTGTGTTTTTAGATTTCCTTCATTAGTATAATGAAATTATGGGTCTATTTCAAATCCTACATTAGCAAGATGAAGAGTAGTTAGCAGTTCTGCACTGAAACATGTCATTGATGTGTCAAACTCAGATCTTAACTCTTGTTCAAAATCTTACCAGTAGTTGCTCCTTGAAAGAATGGTTCAGTTTACTTCCAGGCAATAATAGCTCAACTGAAAAGAAATAAGGCTGAGATATTTAAATAGGAATGCTATGAAATAATAGACTTTCAAGAGATCTGTATATAAAAGCTGTGCTGAGACATTACTGCCAAAGACTGCTTGAAGTTTTGACCACTGACTAGGTTTCCAGTTTTGAGGATGACATTTTTTTTTCTGTTTGAAATATGAAGTGCTCTTTGGTTCTAACGTCTGTGCTGACAAACCTTTCAGGAAATAGGAATATCTGTGTGTGTGTGTGTGCTGCAAACATGTAACTTTCAGGGAAATATCTGTGTGTGTGTGTGCTGCAAACATGTAAAATATTCTGTTCCCCACAGTTTTTCTGAAACATTCTCACAGGGAACCAATGTAGCACAGGCAGGGCAGGATAAAAGGAGACGTGATATTTAATAAGTTCTTTTAAATACTGCAAAATGCATTGAGATGGGCCTGGCCCTATCCTGTGTCTTCAAAAGTGTAGTATAAATATCTGTGTGTGTGTGTGCTGCAAACATGTAAAATATTCTGTTCCCCACAGTTTTTCTGAAACATTCTCACAGGGAACCAATGTAGCACAGGCAGGGCAGGATAAAAGGAGACGTGATATTTAATAAGTTCTTTTAAATACTGCAAAATGCATTGAGATGGGCCTGGCCCTATCCTGTGTCTTCAAAAGTGTAGTATGCACATTACTTCAGTAATTCACATTAGATGGTAGGAAAACATTTTGCCCTGTTAGGGTGTTCAGGCACTGGAATATTGCCCAGGGAGGTGGTGCAGTCACCATCCCTGGAGGTGTTTCAGAGGTGTTTGGATCTGACACTGGAGGATCTGGTTTAGGGTTTAGGGGTTCAG